TGCTCAATTGTATCAAGGCATCCTTCATCCTACGATATGTCACCTGCATCAACAAATTAATTTGAATTTTTTTATTCTTATAAGCTTAAATAAATTAGTAAATATGTAAAACATGGTAATGAAATTGACTACAGAACCAATATCAAGGAAGAAAGTGTGGTACTGAGAATTCTATACTAGTTCCAATACATTCAGGCTCGCGAAGATATGTGTATAACAATTAAAGCCACTATGAGAAGCAGAGAAGCTATTGAAGAATTTTAATAGTAGACCTAGTTTGACACATTTTCTAGAGGGAAGGGACTCTTTAAATCTTCTTTTGGGATGTTATCAAAAGCAACAGTGACTAAGGAATCCTGTTCAACATTCACATGAAATCAGCAGCAGAAGACTTCAGGGGAATCACACATAACTAGAAAGAACGAAATGAACTGAGTAAACCAAATGTCTTTTAAAACCCACAATTACCTTTAGCCAGTAAACTACACCTCGTCCAAGAGCTCCTGAATCGGCCATGTTTGGTTTTAATACGACTACATCTTGGGTGCCAAACTACATTGCAAAAAGAAAAGAAAAAAAATTACAAATAGGAAGAATTAACCAAAAAGACAATGGTGTTCTGCAACCACAAACACCTGAAAAGGGAAATTTATCATCTCCAATCCCCACTATACCAGAACTTATGCCAGGGCTTGTCATGATCAGGCAGACAAAACACAGTAGGTTACTTTTTGCGCCATATATGATATTGTGCCTTAGTTTTTCCCCCTTTCTTTTTATTTTCACTAACAACGATACAAGTTATTAAATCAATCAACTGCATTTCACCCCAAAATTCCTATACATAGAATTACTAATCTGACATCTACAAGAAACAGAAACTTCCATTGGAATTGTATCTTAATTCCAAATCCAACACACAAAATGCCAATACAATTGAGTTAAAAAAAAATTCCAAGACCCAAAAGACCAAATTAAATAGACCATTTTAACAGCAACTGGGACCTAATATTCAACTAAAAGATAAATAAATCATTTTGATATTTTTGCAATTCAGATCCATGGCATCTTTAATAGCAAAACCTTGAGGAAGTTGTGCAATTATCAATTGGACTGATTCAAAACATTAATGATTGAAAACCCAAAACAAAATATTGGCAGTGGGCACTCTTACCAGTTACAGAAAATGATACAATTCACAATGCACTACAAATTGAGAATTGCGGATCCCCTCCTTTGAGAAGTATCCAAATTCCTTGATGCCCATGAAGAAATAGAGGCGGATATCTCAGCTTCCTGTTTCAACAGAAAGAAGTCAGTTACTTAATCCACATTTCGTCCATGTTCCTTTCTATCTCATCTTGCAGTTCATGAATTAACAATTTCTAGTCTAGAAATAAAACTAGACCAAGCGAAGACGAACCTTTTCCACATTGATTAGAGGAGACATGGTGAAGATGACTATTGCAG